TTTTTTTTTTTTTTTTTACGTTTTCTTTATTGCACAAAATAAAGATTCTGAAGGTAACAGACGTGAATTATGATAGGGACAACACCTATCACCCAATAAATTCACAATCGAAATCTATTTCCCTACCAAAGACGCTTAAAAATCTGTTAAAAAACTCAAGATCAAAGAAGTTTAAAATGAAAGAGATCTGAGCGAAATTAAGTCTCAAAATTACAAAAAAGTAAATAGTTAAATCTTCATGTAATTACATTAAAGTTATACAATCAAACACGCAGAGAAATAAACAAAGTTTCAAAGTTGAAATAGTTCGGCATTGAAGAAATCTTGAAATCTTGAGGCAAAGAGATTAAAAAAGGAAAATAGGTATACGTAACTTTCTCCATGGAAACTTTACCATTAATTCCATTCATATTCCACAGATTCTCGCCGTACGAGTGGAGGGTACTGACGCTAAGCAGCGGCGGGGATCCGACGATGGCCACGAGGAATGATCCCACGCTGCAACATCCGCACGGATCGCAGGGATCGCCGCACATCCCGACTTCGAGCATGGCGAACGACTTCAGCATCATCAATAGCCTCTGGTTCGCTCTGGCAGCGTTCATGCAGCAGGGTTGCGACATATCGCCCAGGTAATCGTTCGTTTGTCTCTCGATCTTCCTCGTGATAAAGTGGCTCGCTATCTCCAGCGTAGACTGGAGCTTTGTAAAAATTAATTACTACAATTTCGCTTGATTATCAGGCGTTCCTTCTTTACACCGTGTTCGAGTTCACTCGTCGGTGAAGCTCCGCGTTATCACGTGAGACTGCGAAGCTATCGCGTAACGCGTCCAGCGAGAAAGCGAGTTGAACATCTTTTATCGGCGTCGCGATAGCACACCTGGACGAAAGGTCTGAAAAGTGTTTGGCCTGGTCGTTTAGCGGAACAACGATACGATACGAACTGTAGCGTGTTGCGAGCAGAAAGATAGCTGGCTTCTTTCACGTGTAATTATAGCTACTTTCGTTTTGCGGCCTGTTTCCGTTTCCGCAAAACAAGCAAACTGGGTGAAGTACGCAAAGTACGCGACGCACGAAAATGGCTGCCTTTTAGCCGGGTCAACGGGCGCGTTGTCTGATAATCGGATAAATTGGATAAGGGGTCTAAAGATTCGTCGCGTTGCAGTCCTCAAGAAGGTAAACCGTTTCGTAATTAACAGGGTTATCGTAACGATACGTTACGCTGATCGTGCAATATTCAATTTTTATTTTCAACGTTTCCAAATCATCATTATTAACAATCAGACTGAATTGACAGAAGTCGTAGAATGAATAGTTTCCGACAACGAGACGAAAGATTTTTACTTTAATTATTGAAATACAAATTTTACTTCAGTGTAGAACACGTGGTAATAATAGCAGATTTTTGATCTAGAAAATCAAATCAATGAAAAGCATCTAATTTGTACTAAATATCAACGGATGTCACACTCATCGACGTCAATATACATTAACATACAAATCCGCTCTTGAAATTACACATTTTTCACCAGAGAAATGAATTTACAATAATAATAATTCTTCGAATATCCTAACGACTATCCAAAATCATTCATTCACGGAAACGCGCAAAGATAGGCTTTCTTGGTACCAGAGAATTAGCGTAATGTAGCACATTAATAGCGACGCGTTAACAAGAGAAAACGGACGTTTCACAGGTAATGATCTAATAGAGGGTTAGATTTAAGGTGTCCTTCAACGCACGATCTCCATCGCCGTCCGGCAGCAGATAGTTGAGCGATGATAACCTTTAAGAGGGTGATTTATCGGGATCTATTCCCCACCCCCTTCCTCCCCGTGGCGAGAGAGTTAAGGAACATGGCAATTACTGTTGCAAATTCCTTCGTTTAAATTACAACTGCGTATCGCGGTAAACGGCGATTATAAACGTGGCGTGGCCCGAATTATCAGACTGTAATCGGATTACGTTTCGCAGAGTCTCGTGCCGGGCGTAATTTAGAACGGCTCTCTGGCAATCAGCGCCGCGATTAGGCCTCCCGGGCTATTCGAGGGCGGCTCATTTGAATGAGCGTGCCGTTTCGTAGCCGCGGCTCGAAAATTCCATTAGTGACACGCTCCACCGCCGACCAAGACATATTGTACATATACAGTGTCTCCTCCAACCAATTCCTCTTTTCTTCTTCGCTTTTATATCCTTCCTCCCACGCACATCAAGTATCCATCTAATTTCATGCGGAAGCAGAGTTCTCGCTCTCGTCCTTTCGCACGAGCTGTTTCACTAAAGATCGCAGGTTTGTACAAGTGGCGTGTGAAATGCGTATTAAGGAATTAAGGATTCTTGTTCTTAATAAAATGTGTTTTTAATATATGTCCTGTGATTCAAGGAATTTTACGTATAAACGATTCTCACTTTGATAGAGATCTTGTCGAAACATAGCCGAGTTCAAATATACTTAGTTCATGTCCGAACTCGATTATTCCCGAAGACGAGGATTTTGATGAAAAAATTTTAAGATATCTCTAGTCTCTTCTATTTATTCCTTCTTTTCGACTCGTTTTTACTGTCACAACTGTTTGACCACAAGTCGCTGAACGTCTCTCAATATAGTACACAACATTTCGTATTTCTCTCCTATCAATTCCAATATATTTCAATTCGCTTTATTTATTTCGTCCCGCGAAACCGCGAGACGCGACATTTTATTTTACAAAGAACACGATACGAAGCTCTCGAAACGCGTCCGTTAATTCGGTCCTAAGTCCCTCCCCCCCCCCTCCCCATAGCAGAAAATATATCGTCGCCGAGTTGTGAAAACAAACACGGCTGGAAATTACAAAGGACGAAACTGTTCGCGATCCGGACGTCCCGTAAATCTTTTCGGGCGAGCGATCGCGACGTTTTCGCGGCTGGTTTCGGCCACTTTGGAACTGGGTCTCGATTAATTTCCATTCCGTCGTATCCACCGACGCCGGGCGATCGTGCGGTAGCCTCCTTGATTAATGGTTTAAATATTCGCGCGGCGCCGATATGAATTGTAAATTTCGCTTTCTGGTACTTTCTGTCCCCTGTGTCTATCTCTCTCTCTCTCTCTCTCTCTCGTTTCGCTTCTTCCTCCCACGACGCGATTCCGCGGCTCGCGAAGCTTCCTCGTTATTAAATATCGTCGTATTAAACGTTGTGGCGCGAAGGCGCAACTCGATCACAAGGTAACCTTCCTCGAGAGAGAAGAAAGTTACGTCCTTGTTCTTTCACTTCGGCGGGCAGGTTCGCCGAGAAAGTTAATGAGAAAGAAGGTGCGAAACATTTATTACGGGGAAATTGTAGAAAGTGCAGGTTTCCTTGCGTTCGAAGGCGAAAGTATAAAGCTCGAGCGAGGAAATTATGGTTGTTAAAGTGTTCTTATTATTATGCGTGATTCGTTGTAATATACTCGGGGTAATGATAGACCTGAGATTGTTTAGTACGTTCTTTAGAAGATATCTTCGGGAACGGTGGTTATTGAGATGGTTTGATAAGGCTACGCCTTAATGATTATTTTTTTACATTTAGTAGCGAGATAGCTCGCGGATAATCACATGGTTTCTAATAATATCAGTAAGCTGATAAGTTACGGAGTTGCAATTTTTCTAGAGAACTATAAAGTTATAGACTTCGAATAAAATAATTATGAGTGTTGATCGTCAAATAAGATGTCATTGAGTTTCTTAATATTGTTACAAAGATATTTATTAACATCGATCAAACTTGCGATAGAGGACTTTGTGGTTTAAAATATTCTCCGAAATCTTAGTAGAATCAATAATTTGCAAAATATGATTCACTACTGTGAGAAAACATTTTACATTCCCGTTAATTTCGAACAAGTCTGTAATTTCCTAGAAATTAGTTAAGCCACTAATTCGCAAGTAATTACCAATTAATATTCATCACTGGTGAAATCACATTTAACAGGTCGATATCAGGACGAATAGTCGGCAGTGTCTGGTGGTTCTTCACCCTGATTCTAATCTCCTCCTACACCGCTAACTTAGCCGCGTTTCTAACCGTCGAAAGGATGGTCGCACCGATTAACTCGCCGGAAGACCTGGCCTCGCAAACGGAAGTGCAATACGGTACACTATCTTACGGATCTACTTGGGACTTTTTTCGAGTAAGTTCAGTCTAAAATTTAATGAAAAAAAAAGGCTGCAACGCAACATCAGGCTGTAACGATCGTGAATGATTACACGCATAGTGAATCCTATAAAAGATTCGTTCGTAGCAAGTAAAAGTTAGTAGAAAAAATTCAAATCATGCGCGAAAGGAAAGATCCTCGATTTTGATATTCTGAAATGAAGATATGTGTAAATATCGAATAAGTAATATTTACAACAAAATGAATCTCTTAGCAGTTGCAATATTATTGTAATAAAATTAAGGTCGACTTATACTGCTATATACGAGAAGAATTGATTCTCAATAATTAAAATGATCTGGAAGAACAATTGATTTGAAGTTATAGCTTGATACATTAAAATTAAAAGATATTTCAAGTATATAACTCGAAAGACGTAAATAGAATATTCTTCTTTCTCCCTTAGAAATCGCAGATTAATCTCTACAGCAAAATGTGGGAGTTCATGAACTCACGGAAGCACGTGTTCGTGAAAACATACGACGAGGGTATACGAAGGGTCAGGACAAGCAAAGGGAAATACGCCCTCTTGATCGAAAGTCCAAAGAACGAGTATATAAACGAGAGGGAACCCTGCGACACGATGAAAGTCGGTAGGAACCTTGATGCCAAAGGCTTTGGAGTAGCGACGCCATTGGGATCTCCTCTCAAGTAAACTTTATTACTTTATTATACTTGCTTGCTTTTAACACGTTCAGGGCCAAGCAATAATTTATCATGGCATTGCAAATACTTCAGTTTCTTGAAACTTTTGAGAAAAAGAATTTTTAAATTTTATTTTCTCATATTAAAAAGCAGAATTTGACAATACAAATTGTACGTGACTGATCGATCTTTCATGATATTATTTTAATCAATGACTTGTGTATATACGCTGCAAGTGTAAACTTGATTCAAAGTGTCATAAAATTGAAACGCGTCCGTCGCAGTGAAAAAGATTCAAGTACACTTCTACGTAAATAGAAATATTTAATATGTGCGGAACTATGTTGCGTTCGGGTACTCCACATTTTCCATTTAAATCACTGGCGGCTTTCAGCGTATACAAAACGAGTGATAGCCATCACTGATGGTACACGTTCGAGTACATGTTGCACGAAAATACCACGCCACTCGATACGCTGAAAATATTAGAAACATTCCCATTTTAATGAAACGGTATGAAACAACAGAAGGACTGCTGTTATTGTAATTTTTCCAACATCACCTGTTGGAAAATTCAATCGTTGTAAAAAGGATTCTAAAAATCTCGTTCTTTTAAAATTACTTCTTTCAAACTTCTTTCAAATTTGAGAGCGTTGTAATCATAGTGCGTTATTAATCCTCCAACCTTCAATCGTCATCTGCGATTGAAAGATTGAAAGGGAAACCTTTCGCGAGAAAATACAACCGGAAAATTCCACACGACGCGCGAAGAATCGACAAAAGGTCTGCCACTTCGCGAACGAGCGAAATCATTTTCAACGAAAGCAACGTGCTCGAACGCGGTAAACGCCGAGAAGTTTCGAGTCTCGAAAAAGCCACTCGCGGCGCATTCGAGCAAGCGTAACGTACGAATTGAATGGTAAGACTGGTTCGACCTATTTCTTCCGCACCAAGGCGTAATTAACGAGCGTTTTTTTTTTTTCTTTTTTTTTATAGCGATCAGGAAGAGACGAAGTATCACCTGCCTTCCCACCTTCACGACTCTTTGAAATTCCCGTCGCCCCAGGTTTGCGCCTCCCTTTCGAAACACTCCACGTCGTTCCACACAATTAGCATTAAAAAAAAAGAAAAGAAAAGAAAAAAAGAAGAAACTCGTACACCCATTTTTCCATATCATTACCGCTTAAGGGAGTCTCGCCCACTCTCTCGTCTCGACTAACCAATTCAATTTCGTCGCGCGAGGAAATTTGTAATTCAACGAATACACGAGCATCGATTTCATTACATTTGTTTCGCGACAGAATCGGCTTTCTTCCTCTGATATATCTTCGTACATCTTCCTCTCTTCTCGTTTCTTTCTCAGTCGTTGAACTACTTTCTGTGGGTTTTATTCGAAAGGTTGTTGGATGTCATTTTGCCGACTGATTACGAGATCTCTTTCTGTTTCTTTACGTAGCGTGTTCTATAAATTTAACACTTGGCCACTATTTGCATACGACGATGTCGTTTCAAGCATTGTTTATTTGGAAAAACAAGAGACGATAGACAATGTAGGGAGACAAACATTGTTACTTGAAATAAAAATACTTCTCGTGAAAAAAAAAATTTTTTTAATTTCATATTATAAGTTCGTGCCTTTTTTTAACGTTAGAATGTTCTAATACATGTATTGCTCATAAATAAACGTAAGTAAACAATTCTCCTCCATCATTTTCTCAGATAATATCGTCGCAGCGAACATTCGTATGGACGACAGGCGAGAGAGTTAGTTTAGGATATTGATTATGAATAAAGAGCGATTTCTAATCGCATGCATGGAATGCACGAGGCCGCGTGCAGATTTGGCTGCACGTGACAAGAATATGCGTTGCGTTGCTGATGTCTTTAAGAATAATCGAGAGAACCGTGCGGGAATTCAGAGAAGCGACTCGACAATCAAAATAATCGATTGAATTCTCATTGAATGTAGTTTTCTACTTGTACTTTAACGTCTGCAATCTAAGATCCCTAGACTATCGTATTTTGTGTGATACCATCTTTTCCCAATATTATTATTTATCTAATATTTGACACGTTACAGAGATCCCATAAACCTGGCGGTGCTGTCGTTGAAGGAAAATGGGGAATTGACGAAACTGGTGAACCGATGGTGGTACGACAGAACAGAATGCAGACACGGGGACAAACAGGATGCTTCTAGAAACGAGTTATCCCTCAGCAACGTAGCAGGGATATTCTACATCCTCATCGGTGGCCTGCTTTTAGCGTTGGCCGTCGCGCTGCTAGAATTCTGTTACAAATCACACACGGAAGCTACCAGAGCGAAGGTAACAAATTGGTATCACTGCCAAATAGGATTTCATAACTTGCACTTCCCGTTCGTAAGACTTCGATCGAACAAAGAAGGAAAAAAGTATTACTAGAATCTTCTGTTTAATATCTTCGAAATATAGTATAATGTATCTTTTCAAGAAACACTAACGTTACTTTCTAATTATCTTTTAAATTCTCGATGTTGCAAGATCGCCAGATCAATTCATCAAATATTATAGTAAACATTTCGGTTTGAATACTTCGTACAGTTCTGCATATTCTCTTTGTACTTCTACACTTTGAAATTTCTCATGAAAACGCCGGCCGAGCAGTAACTTACGTACGACAATGTCGAGAAATTCGCCAGCGAGATTCTTCCGATCAACAATCGTTTTCCACCGTGGAAAAAAAGGGAACGGACTCTCATTTATCAGAGCCTGCAACTTTTCAGATCCCATTGTCGGACGCAATGAAGGCGAAAGCCCGACTGACGATCGGTGGCGGTCGAGATTTCGACAATGGCCGGGTAAGTAGCCTGACGAACCACCACCTCTAGATCCTTGTGTATCGATCGCACGCGTATCACGCGGTTAGATTAACAACAAGCTCGTGTAGAATCGTGTTTGAACAAACAGGGAAACGGACTGAAACGTTCCGCCTATGTTTCTTCGTCACTCCGTAAAAAGCCCGTTCGCATACTTCCACGCGTGCTATATGTCTCTTTCTATCCAGGAACGTTTTCGTCCTTTTTTTCTCCCCGTGTTTCGAACCGACGATCTCGATATATCGTGTAACATACGCTCGCAACGTAGCCGCATCGGGCTACATTATGCATTTCCGTGCAATACAAGAACCTATACGTACATATGTATACATATAGAAGCATATGATAGAATACGTTTGGCATGCAGTTAGCAGCGTGTATACGTTCGACGTGTATATTCTGATCGAAAGACGATCGACCTAAGTATCGAGAATTTCGAACGGGTACCGTGGTTCTCGAGGACTGTTTCGATGACACGATCGACCTAAGGGCGATAATCGATCGTTGTCTCATATAT